GAGTCCAGGACCTTTTATCTCGTGAAAAGCATTTAATCCCTAGATCTTTAATCCATTCTAACTAGAATTAATTCATGATACTGAGTAAACTTCATCCATTGCCTGTGTGGAAAACTGTAACATACCCGACGTGGTTGAACTTTACTGGTCCCTAGTTATCACTAGAACTCCATAAGTTACATTTTGTATTCGTTTAACACAAAAACAGAATCAACATCAATACGTATTATTTAAGCAAAGTAACGAGTCTTATTGTTTTCTTTAGTTTACAATATACAATCAAAAGTAAAGGTCAGAGAAAAATTATGTTTATTACCCTTCACCCCATATATATATCTTTGAAGATAATTCTCAAATATGCCGGATTTAACAGAGGAAAAACAAAGAAAAAAGTCAAATAACTTGGATCTCAAATAAACTGTTATTGTAATTTTTTAGTACTATATAGGATAGATGCGAACTAAGATATATCATGTACGCAAAAGATTAAAAAGCATGATATATAAAGAAAGACATACGAGATAATTTCTTAGACAAATTGTTATACCGGGAGAGAGAAACAAGACTTCGGAAAATAAACGAAACAAGGCTATAATAGAGGGAAGAAGAACTGGGTAAAAAGCAAGAAGATATTTGTTTAGATTTCCAAAAACTGTCATGTTCAATGATAAACAGATGGAAAAGAGGAATATATATATATATATACGCTTGTGTAACACCAAGGATGTATTACAATAAAACAAATAAATAAAAAACAAAAAGAGCAAAACACAACTAAATGATGATCTTAAAAACAGATTAATTTGCACAAAAAAGTGAATATGAATATATTTCAAAAAACCCTTTAGTTATGTAAAGATGTATCCTGACATTTTGCAATTTATCAATAGTTACTGGCCAATTTATTATCGTAATAGTAGCATTATTATCAGTACCGACAGATAATCGCTTTAGATGACTTGTTTATTACCACAATTCAGTCAGTCAGTAACAACGTAGAACTTCGTACGTACGTACATCAGTTCCAGCTGCCGTACCACATTAGCACAGAGATGCAATTGTCGATTCAAATCCCGTAGTGATAGAGGTAGTAAGAGTATAAGCAGTAATCGGTAAAATCACGGTTTGAAGATGTTATTCAAGAAGTATAATCCAGTGAAGTATAGTTGGGAAGAGAAAACAAGTATATCAAGAATTCATATTAGAATTTGGGAGAACACAAAGAGTGGATGCAACTGGGCCATTGCAAACGATTTTGAGCCATGTCATTCAAGGGCTCTAACCATCGGTTGCTATCATCTCGCGATCCCCGACCAGGTATTCTACACCTACCAACATGGCTCAGTCCACATGTTAATGACTTCGTGGATTTGTGCCATGTTTTGGTTTGGCCGCCCCTAGCTTTCTTCCAACATACTCCAACACCAAAAAACGTATTCCAGTGGCTTATGCAGTGGTAACCATCTAGCCCCCTGGTTTGGTTATCAATGCATCCCCTTATATCTAATCAACCTAACCAGACTAAGGAAGAAGACAAACTAAATAGGAACCACTATTGTCGAATAAACTGTATTTACCACTAATATACGATATGTATGTTAAGTGAATTATGTAATGTTAATGACAGTGTTGACCTTTAGCTTGGGAGACAATTCGATTGTTCCCTTTAGTTAATTCACTTGAATTAATTCACAATACAACTGTTATGAGTCGAGTGACTTTGAAAAGCACTTTTCCATGACCTTGATATACCAATATATAAGCTTATTCCAACTCATTCCAATCCTGAATACCATATAGTATTGTCCACTTTTGCTAAAGAAAACATAGTAGCCTATTGTTTTGCTTAGATCATAATTTAGTTTCTTAAGTACCTGGTGATCAGTCAGCGAATTAACGGTCCAATACACAACTGTAGCAGAGAAGTTTATTAGACTTGTAGGAAGATTTACAGATTCATTAGCATTTTTAATTTCGAATAAAGGGCACCTACCGCAAAGTATCAGATTAATCTTAATCAGTTATTAGATATTATTCACGTTGACAAATGACATATGTCAATGTATATTTACGCATATGGATTGGCAACAATCATTTTGGCATCACAGTCGACTACCTCTATGATTTAACAAATTTTAGGCAAAATGTTAAGTAGTTGGAAGCAGTCAACGGGAAGCCCTGAACATATGCTGCATACTATTTATCACCTGCCAACAAGATCTACTTTTAACCTTGAGAGACTTGGTGCTCCTTTGCGGATTTGGTCTCGGGTCACTGAGCTTTACAATTTGGGACGTTATCACCGAGCTATTCAAAGCAGCACCGAATAACCTCTTGTAGGACTCATATATTTACAACTGATTGGTCACTACCCCGTAATCAACCAACTGTTTGTTTTACTCTCTTAGATTTGAACAGATAGCTTGATATATACTGCTACCCGTAAAAATCCAAATCAATTTCGAATACCACGTGTAGCTACTTAATGAACTTCATTAAATCAAATCAAATAATCAAAATAAATTATGTTAGAAGTCAACTGGTCAAAATATTTGATACCTCAAAAATAATAGTTAATCCCGTACATTTCAACAGCAAAACACCAAAAATAATCAAATCGAATTATTGACTTCTGACTAAATAGTTGAATATTATGTTGTTGACCAGATAATTTTAGCTGTTAGGCGCAATGAAAGAATTAAAGTACCAGATTCATCACAAGCTGAAAAAGCCTCAAATTATTCGTAGACTGGTACATCTTAAATGGTGAAAACGTATGATATAAAACTAGTAGGTTCCAACTTAAAATTTCATTTCAACTACTCCAATTTAAATAATTGTATATTATCAATAGATATTACAACACAAAACCAATATGTATGCCTCAAAGACAATCCATTCACTAAATGGATATGTTCAAGTCATCTTTCAAAGCGAATTACTTCACAGTTGTTTGCCCCCAAATGTCCTGTTACAGTTGAGGGTGAGGAGTCCGCTCTCCCTCTCGAAATGCTCTCACATGGCCACGCGTATACCATCCACTACCAGGGAAGTCCTACCCACCTCCTCACGGTGGGTGTGTTGTTTACGAAATTGAAAGAACAAAAAGAGAATGTCCGGTGCTTTGACTGGCTGGTGGACATGGAGGGTTCACCAAGAGGAGTTGAAAAACCCTGATTTCAAACCAATGGTGCACATGGGCTTCAGTATCCAGAGGGAACAAATGGAGTATGAACATATGGTTGGTCACCGGTTACCATGGGACTTCATCTCCTAGCGTTGCTCCACTGCCTTGTGGATTAGACCTTCATGCCAAAGGCTCCAGGTGTGGCCCCCTAAGACAACCACCTGCTTCGATTTGGGCTCTCGGATAATATCACAGTCCTTACACAAATCAATGACAACTACTACTTGCCTCATTGATATTAAGTGGTGCATAAATATTTGGTGCCCCCTTGTACAAATCTTTGTGTTCAAGTAAATAATAAATAATGCTTGTACTACACTATAATCTTACGATTCTGAAAACTAATTTTGATCTATTCCAACAATTTTGACAAAACCTCTCTGATATATATATATATATATACTAATCAAGGTTGCTAATTTTAAGATTGATGTGTATTGTGTAAAAAAAATTTGAAGACCAGTAAACACTAGCAACTCATTGAAATTATCATAATAGGATAAAGTCATTTTATAGCTTAAGAGAAATATACTAATGATTCTAAGAAGTTTCGATTATTTCTGAAAAGCACCGTAAGGACAAGAGACTTTGTACACAATCGAAAAATGAGAAAAGATGCGTATGCGCGCGTGTGTTTGTGCACACATATACACTGAATTATTTTGGTAATAAGCGCGTTATATGCACATATTTATACCGTAGTGAACACAAGCAAACGTGAATTATATATATATATATATATACTTTATAAATCCAATGGTCACAAATCAATAAGTTAATAAACGCTAAAAGATGTGAGAATGTAGCTTATATACAATAAGTTCACAATCGTTTTTCTCTTACTATTTAAGAATGTGCCGGTGTGCATAGAAAAATACCAGACTGATGAAAGAAACAAGGAATGTAAAACTACTGACTTCATCAGTATATATATATATATATATATATATATATATATATATATATATATATATATATATAGATAGATAGATAGATAGATAGATAGATAGATAGATAGATAGATATATATGCTTGAATAGGTCATTTTCAAGTGTACTGAATAGCTGCCACTAATCAATGATTAAAAAATAAAATTTATTGTGTAATATATACTTGTAGGTTTACTTATTTATCCGCAATAGTTTTCCGGTTTTCTTTTTGGTGTATTATCGATCAAATGAAATATTGCTAAGTTACCGAATAAATTACTGATAATAATCAATCGTATAGATCAAAGTAAACAGAATAAAAATCAATCAAGATCTATAAATGAACGAAATTTTGGTTTCATAATTTAAAACACGTAATGACTTTAGACACTTAACGAAAACTAGACAATGTTGGACAGTTGATTCATCTTATTATAAGACTGATTAACAATGTCCATCTACAATCGAACCAGAGGTCGAACCTAAGGCCTTTATGTCTAGTGGAATGCGTCTAGCCTCTAGACTATTGAGTTGATATCAAATAGTTTACTTGTCGAAAACTCAATCAATTCATGACATTGTGTAACCACTTTAAATGCCTCATACCTGACAAGGCTGAACTCAGATAGTCCCAACTTTATACTAGAACTCCTGAAATTAACTCTCGAAATTCTAGTTGTAAGCCAGGGAGATCGATCCGAATAACTGAGATCTCAGCTAGCTAGTCAGTCTACATAGTATGGAACATAGTTCATGTGTGCATTGGTTCACGTTGTCATACCACATCAGGACAGGGACATGCTAGGGTAGAAGTAGTAATAGTAGTTACAAAGTTTTAAATAATATTCGTTGAAAAAAATGACGAAGCTGGAAATTTTACTCACTTCAGGAAGTTTTTCAGATAACTGTCTATTTAAAACATCTCTTTCTCTCTCAGCTTCCGCAAGTCTATTCTGTGTAAATACCAATTGATCTTGTGCATCATGTAAACTTTCCATTAGTCTATCACGTTCATCCAATATACTCAATAGCATATCTTCAACATTAGTTCCCTCTCCACTTGCTTGTGAGTCTCGATCTCCTTGACTTGAATTACCGTCCTCCGATATAGTGGGCATAACATCACACATTTTCGAAAGGTGAACCTACATATTTTTAAACGAAAAAGATTGAAGAAATGATATTAATTTCTTGGCAAAAGTATAATAAAGTAACCCAAGAAAAATAAGAAACCAATTACCAACACCTGTACCTGTGTAAACCTTAATCATTTCAAGTACAAGTAACTTGAACATTACAATTCGTATCTGTCTGAGTATACCTGAATAACTAAATACATTATTTATATGATGATGCTTATAATTTTGAAAACATATTTGAGCCAAAAATGTCATTCAAAAATAAGTGTTTAGTAGAATAAAAACTATTTTTAGCGAGAAAAGTATACTAAATATCTCAAAATAATTAAAATGAAAAAGCATTAAAAATTTCAAATAATGAAGCATAATAGCAACTGTTCCACCGAGCGCAATAAAAGTGACTCATTAACTGTACTTTACATTGACTATATCATACAATAAATCGCACTGGTGGGACTCGCTTCATATGTATCTTAATCAAAACATGATAAGCGAGTAGTAAATATCCAATAGTTAATCGTGACTAAGAAAAGTCATCAGAAGAACCATAAAAGTAACTTGAGAAAACCCGAACCGATTTCTGCATTAATCAACTGCACACATGTTAAATCACTGCTAATGATTAAGTAACAAGATAGAGAATCCCTAACTTTATGGTGTACCTCAAATTTTATCTTTCAGTACACTTCTGATAGATACCTACATAAAACATATTTTGACAGGACTGTCTTACTCAGATATCCGGATACCTAGTTCGTTGTAATTAATGTTCAAAGAGGTTATCTTACTAAGCTTTAAAAATCCTTAGTGACAAATCTCTATTTTGCAAGGATAAACTAGCCTCATCACCATAGAACATGATATTTTGACTTATGCCAAGCATTTTCATAGAATAGAAAATATTCCAATTTGAAAAAAAATTGTTCTTAAATTACATTCCATAAATCTAGTTAGATTAGCATAATTTAACCGAAAATTGGATCGATAGAGATTAATACGGTTTATCAATCCGTATTCTGATGTCCAATTATATTCTTTCCTGAAGATGAATGTTAAGCAGTTAAACTGAGAACATGTGATCAACTGTACCGAGTCTATGCAATCAGAATGGAAATCTATAAAAAGTAAGCATATTTCAAGTCGTAGACTAGTAGTTTGTGTACATGACTCCTGGATCACAAATCTAAATCCTAATCTATATTTAAAGTTGTGGAAAGCCTTAATTGGTTGTACGTCTCCGATGAAAAGGCGTTACCTAAAAACTAGTACACAAAACGGTATATATGATCAAGTAACATTTGATTTTTATCCCAGCAAATAGAATTATTCAACAGAATACTTTCCAGATATTTAGACTTAAGGTGCCAAATGTCTCAATCTCTTATAATCATACTAAATTTCACTAGCAACTTATACCACGTCAACCAATATTCAACAAACTCGTGATAAAAGTGAGATAGTTTAAGTGAAGTGATAATGCATAACAACACAAAGCAGAAGCAAAACAAATTATTTAGGTGTCTGCAGTCAGGAACAAAAATATCCCACATCTTTTAATATCGTATTTTCAACTCCATATTAGACATTTTATGTTTTGCAATAGACACTCAGTGAGTAGTAACTTGTAAACTGACACATGTCGCACATCAGGTTTTCATACAACATCAGTACAGTGAGATGAAATTATCAAGACAAATATCAGAATAGTAGCAGTAGCAGTGGTAACAGAAAAGACTAGGTTCGAACATAATGACTTAAGAAAAACAAACTCGCTAAAGGAAAAGTAAATACAATACAATAAGTGCATCGGCATCATTGTGGCTAATTCTAACCAAAGTTTTATACCATCTATCACTTGTAACGAGAATCGCACGGAGCCTAACCAAGTAGTCTGGACTTATGAAACGGGCTCAGTCCAACAATCAATCATCTTATGGACGAATGCTAGGTTTTGGTTTATCCGTCACTAGCTTTCTCCCAACCTAATCCCATACCATCAAACATAGCAATATGGTGAACCTGATAATAGCCTTAAGAAACCGACATATTGAAATCATTTAAAATGAATCTTTTAATTCCGCGACAACTACATTATGTAATGTAATGTAATAAATAACTAGATAAATAAATATCGGTCAGAGTTGCTACATAAAGTATGGGCTTTCACTCAGAACTTATTGGATAACAAAAACTGGTTAGGACTTGTTGAAATCATTCGCAGTAACATCTAGATCTATATTTTCTTTCCATAAGTGATACGTATTCATATCACTAGGAATCGGAAACGTCAGTTTCCAGGTCAGTTATGAAGTTAGTTATAACTAATACAAAGCCTGGCACAAGCATGCATCAAGACAACTCATAGGAAATTACAACAGTGAGAAATTAACATAAAGGATGGCGAATAATTCGAAATAATAGTAGTATCAAGGTTGGATAAAATGATTAAACACTGGGAAATACTGTTTTAAAAGACGGAATAAATACAATAAAATAATATTGAGGCTCAGATCTTGGGGGGAACTAAATGAATCGGCAACGTTGCAACCGATTCTGAGACATGTTCCTCAGTGTCTTCAAGCAATGATCATGGTTATCTCTCGGATTCCAACCACCATTATTATTCAGTCTAATAGTCAGTGGCTTCATGCACTGATCTCATGTCTTCATTAAGCCGCCCCTAACTCTATTCCAACCTGTCCTTACTCCGGCCAACATTGCGTCTCGAGGTCGGCGGGACCCGGGCATGCGTTACACATTTCCCATACACCTCAGTTTGTGATTTCCCACTGCCTCACCAACCGATTTCTCATGTGTGTCTACTATTACTTTAGGATTTCTCCGCCAGCTGTTCCATTATACCCGAGCTATTCTTTGAAAAAACCTATGATCAAACCCTGCGGCTTACGCACATATTCTATTTCCAAGGATCATATCTGACAACCACATAGTAATACAGCCTAGGTTGCTAGACAGAATACTCACTCCCTGATTGACAGGCAAATATATCTATACTGAGCCACAAGTGACACATGCTGGTATAACCCAAGCTCAATTTTTGAACCCAATTCCAGACCACGTTCAACACCGACGTAGAAAGCCTTCCACAATAAATATAAACGGATTGACACTCAACTGTTTTAATCACTATGACCAGTTCAGCCGTTCACTCAGAATTACAAATGCTACAACTTCTAGCATACTAGCCAGATACTCAGTTGGAATTTCTGAACGATACTATTAGAAATCTGTCCGTCTTTTTCTTTTTCTTATACAAAATCATGCCTTTACCACCTGTTTTACTCCTTTTTTCTATTAGTTCTTTACTACAAAATTAGTGATATTTGTGTGCCCTAAAGTTTCACTTCGTCCATCTTTATTAAGTTGATGTAGAGTGTAACAATGTCGAAAGGCTGATGTTTGTGCCATATCCTCCCTATCTTTCGTAATCCCCCTTCCAGCCAAACATAGTTAATGAGACCAGTAGGCCCTTCTGGAGAAGAGGCATACATGGAAGCGTGGCACAACTATCAGGGCGCAATATTTGTTTCTGCTATAGATTTTTTAGTGGTACGGAGTTTGCTTTCAAATTCAATCACCGTCCCCAAATACGAGCATCAGTCAACCAAACAAAGCTACTTGAATTTAGCTCCCTGTTGGACTGAGACACGTAGGCAAGCGCACGCTACCTGACTGGGGTTCGTGTGATTACCATAATCAATCGTTAAATACCTTGGATGACAAGACTCAAAATCGTTCGGCATAGTTCAGGTGCATTCACTCTTTGTCTCCTCCTAGATCCTGTGTTTCTAAATCACCTTATGACTTTCTCAGTATTCTACCAATCTATGTTTACTTCTCGAATCATATCTTTTATGCCTAATCTTTTATACACATAAACATTTGTACAAGGAGGCACCAAATACTTATGGCGTCGGTGTATACACTCTCTGTATTCCCTTAAATTAAGAGATTCAAACCGCTTCATATCTTTCTTTCTACGAACTAATTCTTTTTTCCTGTACTCTATCCTTATTGCAATCTTTCTTCTATAAATTACCACCTCTGAATTAACTACTTTTATGAATCCGGTGTCCATCTTGTTGTGTTAATGAGGTACGGCAACTTCGACCGATGCATATATGTGCCTGGTCCTACGTTGTAGCTGACTGACTGACTGAAACACTTATGCACCACTTAATATCAATGAGGCAAGTAGTAGTTATCATTGATTTGTGTAAGGACTGTGATATTATCCGAGAGCCCAAATCGAAGCAGGTGGTTGTCTTAGGGGGCCACACCTGGAGCCTTTGGCATGAAGGTCTAATCCACAAGGCAGTGGAGCAACGCTAGGAGATGAAGTCCCATGGTAACCGGTGACCAACCATATGTTCATACTCCATTTGTTCCCTCTGGATACTGAAGCCCATGTGCACCATTGGTTTGAAATCAGGGTTTTTCAACTCCTCTTGGTGAACCCTCCATGTCCACCAGCCAGTCAAAGCACCGGACATTCTCTTTTTGTTCTTTCAATTTCGTAAACAACACACCCACCGTGAGGAGGTGGGTAGGACTTCCCTGGTAGTGGATGGTATACGCGTGGCCATGTGAGAGCATTTCGAGAGGGAGAGCGGACTCTCCTCACCCTCAACCGTAACAGGACATTTGGGGGTCTAATCTTATTGTTACTATCCCTACTACTTTAGGATCTTCGCTAAAACTTTCGTCTCACTGTCCCAAGAGTGTATGGTAACTTGAACGGATGTACACATGAGCTATGTTGTACGTCGAATGTGATTAACTAATTCTAATTCAACTATTATTTATTGCAACTGCTAGGTTTTGTCTTTAAAAAGAACATTACCCACAAGTTGCGGTCATGAAGAAACAATTGTCCCCATCAAGGTAATGTAACAAGTACAGTACAATAGTTTGTCTACTGCTTTGCAACGATACGTTTCCTTATATGAGCGAAACTCAGACTTCTTACGATTCATTGTAACATTCAAAACAGAAATTGCAATCTGATCAGCCCTTATAAAATACACTATGCATCCCAAACACGTATTTCTATATAACGGTGAAATCCTTGATTACAACTTCAGTAGTGCAATGCCATAAAAGTGTTGGTTTACACGATCGTTAGGTAAATGCCATGTCCTGAAATCTCTAACCACGAAGTAAACTATCTTCAATAATGACCTTTATAGTACATAGGTGACCCCAGGTTTTCTACAAATAGTTTGAAGAATTAACGAATCAAAAAGTGAGCAGATTTGCACCGATATATTATCGTTTAATTTAAATACATTACTTAACTATAACCTAAATGGTAACAGCAATTACAAAATCCTTTATTGCAAAATATGTAATAGACATCTAGAGAGTAACCATCAAGATTAAAACTGAATACGATAAACAGCCAGCACCAAATATTTCGTCTTCCACTAAGAAAACTAATGATGGAAATCAAGATAGTCTTACAATACCACTTCAAGAGGCATCGTATAGAGAGGCTAGAGATAATTCTATGACTGCTACAACGCAATAAGAAATAATGACTGAAATGTGTCGTAAATTGCTACATACTGTCACAAATTGAGTTACCAGTATTATATTTAGAAATGAAAACACTTCTTGTACTTGAAACTGAAACAATATAACTTCGTCGCCAATCTGAGGAATAAGAAACACCAATTTTGCAGGCCAAAGTCAGAAAACTTATAAAATTTAAATTTCCACAGAGTATAGGCGGATATCGTTTAGTTTCACGAGATAGTGTTCGTCCATGATTGACTTAAGCGAAATTCCAACAAAGCTATTTCTGAGATACGTGTACCAATTAAAATGGCGCATTCTAAAGTCGAAAAATTTGTGAATACACTATACGCCACATTTTCCCAAAACGCTAAACTTGCGTCCAAAACTATCAAATAAATTTACACAAAAACCACTGTATTATATCGAACAATTTCACAATTTCGCGCGCAGCATAGGTTTTTAAGACATGAGTACAGAAAAATTTCGACGACTTACTCCTAGCCCCAAAAACTGATTGGGATTCTTTTATATATCCGTACAATAGTGGAAACCCATTTTGTTCAATGTGAGTTTTCAAATTTGCGCCAGTTCAGACGCCATAAGGTTCTGTAGTATAATGACTCAACTAAACTTTATAACTGGTTGACTTGAAATGATTAACTGATACCTAAACTTTCAGACAAATAGACCACATCATTGTAGTGGCTTGTGTCTAGCACGAGAGTCGTGTGAGAGCATGCAGTGTAACGTTTGTTAACTGTTCTGAAGATAAAGAAAAGGTCAGTCGACAAATTGGAAAGCGTTGATAACGCACTTGCATCTAATTAGAAAGGCAACAAACAATCATAAACAACAACACAAGCCTCAAATTACGAAAATCTTGAAAAACCAGCTTGATGTTTGAATGAACTAATGATTCCATTGTACTTGTTAATTGCTTGATTTCGAATTCTAAATACAGTACATTCATTCGCTCTTATCTAGTACTTCTTGATCCGAATACGTTGTTCCTGAGATTCTTAGTTAATAATATAATTCAAATACTCCTAATAATCATATTGGCGTCGCGACTGAGCCTATGATGGAACGGTTGGACATACATTCAGATTTTGTTGCTTTTGAGGATTACTTTAAAGGTTCGAAATCTGGGCTATGACCAAAGAAGATGATGAGGATGTTAATATTGTGGCACACTTCCTCACATTCATCGGAAAAGAAGCATATGGCTTATTAAGAACTCTTGCTTTACCGTAAAAGACCGTTTCGCTTTCTTATACAACTCTCAAGGATCTACTGCTAGCATACAAAGTTCGAATGTGGTAAAGGAGGAAGATTTAGTAAAATGATTCATGAGGATATAAAGAGTTCCACTACATTGGGTCATCCCAACCCAGTGCATACTCAAGGTTATGCAGATAATTCATTGAAGATTTGTGATGTAGTTTACGAAGATGAGCACAAGTTTGGTCAGTGTTTGTCCTGTGGCAAGTTCCACTCTTTTAACTGATGTAAATTTCGTGATTCTAAGTGCTTTAAATGTGGTGATATGGGACATATTCAGGAAATATTAGCCGATCAAACGTATAACAGTCTAGAAGTGAGTACATAGCAAAGTTTTTTTTAAACCCAGAAGAAGGTATGAGAGCATCCTTACTTTATGCTGTAGCAGTAAATAAATCCCTAAAACAAATCTCTCTGTAAGTTTTTGACATTGGACGCTGACCACATTAGTTTTAATGGACCCACCTGGCTGAAGTAGCTCTGTCATCCACCCGCACCAGATCACGAGTGGGAACGCCGTGCTCAACAACCCTTGCAATCGCTAGCCAGATTAGACCAGACGATTCTCGACATATTGATAGTCTTTCAAATATATCTTCGAACCTCCTCGCTTCTGTCTTCTGGTTTCGCTTGGTGGGTAAGGTTCATAATAGGTGTTACTGGTTACAGCGTTGTCAAACTCCGAATACATGTGGCATCTTCAATATGAATTTCTACCGGTTTCGAGAATCTGCACAAACTCACGTCAAAATTTCCCCGTTATTCGCTAGCTATGTGGAAAGAAATATCAGCAAACCTCCGTTGCAGTAAAACTAACTTAGTTCCGAAGTCCCCTTTATGACTTTTTTTATGAAAGTGAACTTAACAACCTATTAAATGTACTGAAAACACAACTGGACGAATGCATCATTGTATTTCTGGACAAAAACCTTCGTGTTTGACCAAAGAGCAAAAGAAATTATTAAGAAGCTCTGTCATGACGCATCTAGTCAATAATCGCCACTACATAGACAAAACTTCAAAATTGACAGTTAGTTACAAATTTCCGCCGAATTTACCTTATGGTTCCACAATCCCACTTTTGTATATAGCAGAAGCCAATAGGAGTACACACCAAGAAACCCAACCCTTGTGTACAGAAAAAGTTTAAACAACCTCTGGATCTACCCTAGCTTTCCTCTTAGATACCTTTACAAGTTTTAAAAAGTTTTCTTTGCCTTAAAAAGTCTCAAGAACGTCAATTTTATTATCATTGTCATTTCTAATTCTGACCTTGCATAACCTGTTTATTAACAATATTATCTAATTTTTACAGTAATTATCCTCCTAATTACTTATCATAGACTTCACAGCAAAAACCATTTATATTTTCTTCCAGTTTAGTTATGTGACCATTTGTACCAATTAATCGATTATGAAAATGCACACTAGATTTATTTTCCTACTTTTCCAAACGTTATGCAACTAACCGATTATGTGGTTAAACTGACGCACTACCATCTAATCGGTATCGACTTTCTACTCACTTAAAAAAGCATGTACAATACTATGGGGCCTTGATGAAGGATTAATTGAAAAGATAATTCTTTGCTCAGCTTGTCTTATCAAATATCAGCATGATTACCAATGAGTTATTTCCACAGGGTCCGATATCTATTTCACTGACTGTAAAACAAAGTATAACCCTTGGAGTTTCGCATGTTTAATTTGAGCATGTTCATATTTATTAATACTATTACTGATCCCCTGACACTTAAGATATTTTTTCTTGCTTTCTCTTGACCTTCTCTCCCTCTCATATCCATCCCAATTTTACAGTCAAAATGAATCAGATAAGTATTTTATGTTGTTTTCGAACCTGCCATAATGATACAACATAGTTTTGTACTGAGTACTTCAGAATTACGTTCAGAATTTTGTCTTGTCTGAATTCTAGACAATTTCGTTATATTATTTCAAATTCACAGGCTTCTTTACAGCATTTATGTACCAATAAGCTATTTGTAAACCAAAATGATACCTAACTCCCAGTGCCATCTGAATGTGAATGATTTTCCCTGGCTCGTATCTCCATCGGGCTTGCCACATTCTGACTGTGCACAAATATCAAGAGACTCATAAGGTAGAAGGCATAGTTTCTAGCTCAAGAAAGCTCCCAACTGCCTGACAAAGTGGTCCAACATCTGACCAATGCCCATTTATGAAATGTGATGCATATCTTACATGAACGTATAAATACTTGTTCAGTGATATGCGCGTCTCCCTTATTCACTTCAAAAATATACATATACTTCCAACAGCCCCCAAAGCCTTTTGAATCGGCTTTTTAATAAGTGAGGCCTTCATCAACCCAGATCCCAAGTCATTTGTCATGGATTCGATGTGATGTAGTTTGGAACGCTATCCGAATGGAAGCCAGTGGAAAGTGATGTACTCAAAGGCACCATCTTAAGCCCTCTACATTAATGAAATACCGTTGTTGCTTATTGTTTGCGGGTGATGTCAAAATCTGAAGAACAGTAGGGAGTAAGGATGACCATTTTGATGTCCAAGCTGACTTAGGCGGATTAGTAAGATAGGCTCGAGGATGGGATTTAGAAGTTAATTCTAGGATAGTATGCTCGTGTACACGGGACACGGTATTAGTTATCATTATACAAATCATGGTACATCTCTTCCACGTGTTCAAGAACATAAAGACTTAGGAGTAATGACAACTATGCATTGCAACGCAGTTGCTGTCAAAGGTTTTCGTGAGTTACTGTCACTTCGCTGAGCATTCAAATGCTTTGACGAGGAAATATTTCGAATTTTATAACTACCTATGTAAGACTACATTAAGAGTACTGTATCCAGTCTGTCAAAATTACCACAGATTCACCCACCTACTATCCCCATCACTGAAGATTGAAGTAGGAGCTCAGCTGATTTGTTACTACATAAGCCATGAACTCAGTATATTATAGGAATTAAGTCAGACTCATACGCGAAAGGTTCGGTTATGTGTAGCTTTAACCAGGAACTAGACAAACATCTCACTGTTACTACTTGTATGGAGTTTCTGCTTTTAGGTTACCGATGTCCTTGCAAAGAAAGCCAGTAGCAGAAATAAGTGCTAGAAAACTCATTGAAATCAATGACTTTCTAACTGAAATCACTAAGCTCATTGAAATTCAGTTTCAATTTGGAAACGACAGACGGTTTAATGGACTGTGTTAGTCCTGGCAATAACGATCTCTCAGTTGATACAAATTCCTTTTGAAAGAGTCGGCAGATGGAGCCTCAAACGCGTGCTGAGGTAATGGATTCCACTCGTTGGTGATTCGTTAGGAAAGTCGATAGTTAGCTGACAAGTAAGTTGTCCTGGGCTTATGAAATTTTTTATAGTGTCCTGGTAAATTTTCTGTTTTGGAAAGCAAGAAAAATGAGGGCATATCAGGTGTAAATTTATCACTAGGCTATCCGGAAACTGTAATCAAGTCGCTTTCAGTTCTGCGATATGACAATAGGAATAGATTTAGCTTGACCAGTCAGGCATCATACGTGATCTTCGCTACTCCGGCAAATCAGCTTACTTGCTGTTCTCTGAACCTTTTCCAAAGCTCACTGTCCTTTTTTAAACAGAAGGCAGCCACTTGTTTGCAGCAGTCAAGTTTAGGACTCACAAACACTGTATACAAAGTCAAAAACGTTTTAGCGTCGACATGACTAAAGGCTCTACGTACTTACCATGAAGTTCTAAAACCTTTGTCGGCTGTTGCACGGCAGTGTGCAGTAGCCTTTAAGTATTGGCTAGCGACGACTCTAAAGTCATTGTGAGTTCGAACAACAGGTAGCTCAGTGTTATTCATCGTGTATGTATCTGTACCTCGACGACCAATATCCATCACAATACACTTGGAAGTATTTATCGGCAACTGCCAGGCTTGAGACCATTCAGGTAATTTCTTCAGGTCATTTTGAAGTTATAATCTATCACCCTTAATTCCTATCGCTCCCCATATCTTTAAATCGTCAATATATAGCAAAACCGATGATGAAAGTAGGTCATTTACATACAAGAGGAATAACACTGGCCCGAAAGCTATACGCTAGGGCACTATGATGGGACACGGAGAAGGTCATTTACACATAAGAAGGATAAAATTGGCCACAAAACCATACCCTGAGGCACTTAGAAGAAATGAAATTAAGTACGAAATGGAACTGAATATCAGAGACAGGTCGCAGCTGATTGAAAT